TGCAGGATTTTTTTTAACTGATTTTTTGGTACATTTTTTCTGTTACATTTGGGCTGCATGCAATTTTTTTCTTCCAACAAACGCTTGCAGGAATATTTTTTCAAAATCACTCACCCCCTCTGAAAAGTTCAATGGTCGGCCCCTTACGTCGTTCATAAAAGAGAGGCAAAAAGCTGTGCCCAACCCAGCCTCAAGACAAGTTATACTCACCAAGCCTTATCCAGTAAAGATAATTTACCCTGACTAGTATTTCTTCCTGAAACCGATACGGCAGAAGCACAAAGCTGCCAGCAGCTCCTTAAAGATGACGTCACATCCAGTGGAGTGTACGCGATCAATCCAGATGGAGGCAAACCAATTCAAGTGTTCTGTGACATGGACACGGACGGTGGAGGTTGGACCGTTTTTCAGAGACGTTTGGACGGCTCCATTGACTTCGATCGTCACTGGAAAACTTACAAAGACGGGTTTGGAAATCTGATCGGCGAGTTCTGGCTTGGAAACGACAATCTTCACCGTCTGACAGCCGCTGATGACGTCATGTTGAGAGTTGACTTGGAAGACTTTGAAGGGAACATCACGTACGCTAAGTACGCTATTTTCAATGTCATAGACGAGGCAGAAAATTACACGCTCACTCTTGGAGGATATACTGGCGAGGCCGGCGACTCCTTCACATTTCATAGGTACGTAAAACATATAATTTTTCAGGACCTTTTTTACACGTAAAAGTTCGGAATTTGGGAACTATAACAAAAACAAATGACCTTCTACGAGCCAATAATTATAAAGAACGTCCCTCCTTAACCATTGACAATGATTCTGAAAAATGAAAGCTGCAACCAACATCTGCACGTATGCACGCTTCATTAGTGGCAGGTATAAATACAAGAGAACCTAAAAATAAAAACAAGCAAACAATTTCAGGCGTGATAAAAACTGGAGTAACCAGGTCGAGATTACTGTTAGTAAATATTAAGTGTCGCGAGTTTTAAGGACCAATCATAGGGAATAGTGAAGCAAACCAACGTAACCCTTGATCTCTTTTGATACTCAATTGAACATCGCTCTATTTAACTTTTCGATTTAGTCCCTTTATTTGTCTCTTCCACTAACTCTGTTTCATGGAATAGACAACAGGATTAAGGTGATTCCTCAGAAAAAAAAGCTAAAGAACAATGTTTTCAAACTTTCCTTAAATGATCCCTTCCAACGTCTATTTCGAAATATACATATAAAAAGACAGTTCACTCTGCTTGTTTAAGAGACGACGGGCCTTTAAGGTTAAAATTTAATTTGTATCATCAAGTAAGAGGCTTCGTGGACCCTTTTCGCTATATCTTTTTTCCTTCTGATAAATTTTTTTTAATATCTCCAAATTAAAGAGGACTATTTGTACACTAAAATTAAGCAATAAAAACTATAGGTCACCTTGCTCGTTCAAGATGCAATGACTACCTTCCTTCTCATTCTTGTTTATTTCACGCTCACCACCGCTTTGATTAAATTGAATTAGCATAAGAAAAGCATTAGCTTAAGTATATTTTGCTTTTAGCCAATAGAAACATCACACTTCACGGGCATATATGACCACAATTTTGATATGTTTTGTTTTTGGTTTAACATTCGTTTCCATGTAACTTCTGCGTTACAAATACAATAAACAACGTCAAAATGAAATAAAGCATGTCAGTTTCGTTTCATTTACTTTCAATTTCAATCATTAAACTTCCTGGTGCTCTTGATGCAAGTAAATCACGCCGCTATTTTAAATATTTTCGTTAAACCTGTTTTGTTTCGCCCTCTTCCGTTCGCTGAGCCAATGTATTCACTCTGACGAATAGCTAACACTCGAAACGTCAGCTTTACTGACTCTTTAAAGTGCTTGGCCATTTTAAATTGTCAATTCAGTGTATAAAACCAATTTATCTGATTATAACCTTGCCAAGTAAAGCTGTGGGAATTGAGAAAATTTTTCTGAGTTTAGAATTTCTGTTCGTCGTTGCAATTGTAATGAAAATTTTCAAAATTTATGTTAAATCTCGCAAAGATTCACTGAAAACCCAGTTATTGGTTAAAACTTGACATTGATCAGAATGAATCATTTTTAAAACATTCGCTGTAGGTTGATCACATTTCCATACCTCT